CTGTGTATTCAGTTGTGTATATGAGCCTCTTCTGTCCAGCAATAAGTCGGCTCCTGCTACCTTGGGTGCCTGCTACTTTTGAGTTCTCACGGAGTTCCCGTTGAGTTCCCGTTGGTTCTCACGGAGTTTCGGTAGAGTTCTGGAGAGTTCCTATGGGGTTCGGGCAATAAAGTAGTTCCTGTTTGAACCTACAAGTGGCTCGTGACCTCCCGGTTATTTTGTGCCCAGACTGAGGCACTCTACTCCTGCCTTGAGGATTTTGAAAATGTTGTTTTCCTGGGAATGCATATCCCATACCCCATTAATCTGCATTCCTTGCTCACTTCATGTGAACTGTATATATACATGTCACTTTCTCAGTAAAAAGCCTCAGACTACCCTCCATTCTTCCAAAACTCCCTATCCCCTTGTTCTTTGTTTTTCTCTAGAGAAATTTTGCCACCTGGCATCCAGATAGGAATATCAGTGTCAATATTTGTTGATTTTCTCTTTTTGAAGTATTTTTTTAGTTGTCAATGGACCTTTATTGTTTTTTGTTTTTTTGGGGGTTTTTTGTTTGTTTGTTTTTTTACTTACTGATATGTAGTGCTAAGAATCAAACCCAGTGCCTCACACATGCTAGGCAAGCGCTCTGCCACTGAGCCACAACCCTAGCCCTATTTGGTGATTTTCTTTCCTCATTAGATTGCAAGATTCTCTGGGACAAGGACTTGATTTATTATCTTTCTCATGCCTAAAACCATGCCAGTTGAGATAGGAGCTCAATAAATTAGAAAAAATGGTTGACTTGCCTTTCTTTGCCTCTCTATCAAATCAGGCCTCAAAGCCTGTTGATTTGCCAAGCACATGCCTATAATCCCAGCGGCTCAGGAGGCTGAAGCAGGAGGATTGCAAGTTCAAAGCCAGCCTCAGCAATTTAGCAAGACCCTAAGCAACTCGGCGAGACTCTGCCTCCAAATAAAATACAAAAATGGGCTGGGGCTGGGGCTCAGTGGTTAAGCACCACCAGGTTCAATCCCTGGCATACATACAAAAAATAAAAAGAAAGAAAAAGAAAAAAGCCTGTTGATTTTACATCTTGTTTACACCTTGAATCTCTCCTTCTCCTTCCACTTCTTGTTTCTATTGCCATTGTCCTGGGTCAGACCCTCTTTGCTTGAAAAAGTATAAGCACCTCCCAGTTGTTCTTTCAATTCACAATTATATTTCTTTCCATTGAAATAATGTGGCCATATTGATCCCTTTTTAGATTCTTCAGTTGCCTTCCATTTCATTAGTGAGTGTAAACCTAACTTTTACATAAGCAAACCATATTGGTCATCTATGTCCCCTGAACACTGTAGAAACTGCTAGTTGCAGTGATGAAACTCATTAGTCCTTGCCCTGATAGCTGTTTCATTCATGTACCCTTGTTTGTCCTCAGTATCATCTCCAGGATTATCTGCCCCTAGATTCTACAGCTAATTAAATTTAAATAAAAAGTTGAGTTACTCAGTCATACTGGCATCATTTCAAATACTTGGTAACACTGTGGTTTGTGGCTACTATATTTACAGATATGAAAATTTCAGATATAAAAATTTCCACCAACCCAGGAAGTTATGTTGGAGAGTACTGGCCTTTCCCCAAACTCTACAAGTCATTCTGTATTATTTTTTTGCTCTACAAATACACCTTGTACTTTTGGTCCACTGTTTTTACCGCTTTACCTTACTAGGAACACAATGTTTTCTGTCCATTTTCTGTTAAACTTCTGACTTTTTTTAGACCCTGATTCATATCCTACATCTTATAAAAAATTTCCTTGGGCTGGGGTTGTGGCTCAATTGCAGAATGCCTGCCACACACATGTGAGGCACTGGGTTTAATCCTCAGCACCACAAGAAAATAAATAAACAAAATAATGATATTGTGTCCACATATAACTAAAAAATTTTTTTTAAATAGAAAAAGAAATTTTCCTTGATGCCCCCTCCAACATACACACATTGATTAATCACCTTATAAGCAGCCCCAACCATGGGAAGTTTCTTGTACCCCTAAATCAGCCTTAATACCCTTGTTAAAATACAAACTCTCATTACCTTACCATTCACGGGGCTCCAGACTCAGCCACTGCCCGTCCTCACAGTCAGTGAGGAAGTATGTTCCATAGGAAAGCAGTAGAGAAGGCTTAGGGGAAATGAGTGCTAGGACAGAAGCTTCTAAAACTAGTTTCCACTGACTTCAGTACTTTGCATGTGTAGGTAGTATGTAAGATCCCTGTATTGCTACAGTTTTCTTGCTCCTTATCTGGTGGATCCAGCTGGGGATGGAAACTTTGACAGAGCCTGTGATGAATGATGTAGCCCTATTTTTACTTGGAAGGAGGAAGTAGAGTCATTAAGGCACCAAGAGGTTTTGCCTGTTGAGCCTAGAGAAGCTAGGAAGACCTTATTTAGGAATGTCTTGCACTCAAGGTTTATCTTACACTGATGTTTTATGCTCCTAGTCTAATGGTGCTGTCCTCATCCCTTAGAGGGTAAAATGGGTGAGTCTGAGTTATGATCTTCATAACTTCTTGTTATGAAGATTCGGAGCAGGTGAAAACATTAGGTCCCATTCATAGCTTAGATTGGCATCAACTACATGGGGACTATCTCAGCCACAATCTCTCTTATGGATGTGCTCAGGTTCCATGGAGCACATCCATAAGAGAGATGGAGCAGAGATTTGATATTCTTCTCTGGTGGGAGCACAGAGCAGGTACGGTGGAAGTAAAATTGTTTTTCGTTTTTTTTTTTTAAGTTGTTTATGGACCTTTATTTTATTCATTTATTTATATGTGGTGCTGAGAAGCGAACCTAGTGCTTCACACATGAGAGGCAAGCTCTGTTTATCAGAGATTTACTCCTTCTCTTCCTGTTGTGCTTTTTCAAGACTCTGTCATTGTCCAGGAGAAGAGTCCAGATAAACCAAAGGTCAAACAGTTCTAAAAGCCATGGCCCAGGTAAGTTGAAATTTGTTCTATCCTTGGGGTAATTTCTTCCCTCCAGATCACATGAACATTTGTGTTCTTTTTCCTGAAACATCTCTGTAACTTGCTCGCAGTTCCTCCATCCCAGGGATGAGTGTAAGCACAAAGTGAGGGATGCAGACCTCAACAGATTCAGCGAAGCCATTTATTCATTTGAGCACTCAATCACTCAGGCACCATAAGGGCTCATTTTCGGGACACGAAAATGGCCGTTGGTTATAGTGGGGGTTTTAGTTTTATAGGGTACAATGAGGGTGATTTAATCATTGGAAACTGCAGGCGTGCTGATCAGACAGTCAGGGAATTAGTTGTGCAGGTTAAAATTTTAACTCAAGAAGGCAGTTGTAAAAAGTTTGAAACTTGTTACTGGGAAATGATAAGACCTCAGATCTCAAGGAGTGAATACTCAGATCCATCCACTGCTTTTTTTCTTCCTCTGAGATTCACTGTTTCCTAGAGTTTTGCTATTTACCATGCCTACATTAAGAATTAATTGGCAAGGACCTGGGGATATAGCCTAGGTGGTAGAGTGCTTGCCTCACGTGCACAAGACCCTGCAATTCCTGGTTCCACACAAAAAAAATTGGCAATGGGGGTAGGGGGCAGTCAGGGTCCAGAGCCCAGTGTTCTCTATCCACTTTTCCTTCAGGGCCTGTAGTTTTTGGGAAAGGATTTACTAGGAGAGTTTTGATGCTTGGCTAATTTCCCTCCCTCCTGTCTTGTAGGAATATTATTTTTCATAACCCTTCAACAAGCAATGGTGCTCTGTTTCCCTTAGTGGCCCTCTCTTATCCAGCATCATTCACATATGTGAGCACCAGTGGAGCAGAAATGTCTTCTCTTGAGAGAAAGATGAGAGCCTCCTTTATGATACCATCATCCAGTAGGGCCAAAGATAATGAGTTTGATCTTTTCCATTGATGTAGGTGGCTTCCTTTCCTTCTTATATTTTAAATGTCACTTCATCTCAAAAAAAAAAAATCATAAACTTCAGGGTGCACAGTGGTACTCCTGTAATCCCAAGGACCCAGGAGGCTGAGGCAAGGAGGATCACAAGTTCAAAGCCAGCCTTAGCTAAAAGTGAGGTGCTAAGCAACTCAGCAAGATCTTGTCTCTAAATAAAATACAAAAAATTAGGGCTAGGGATGTGGCTCAGTGGGCAGATGCTCCTGAGTTCAATCCCTGGTAAACACCCCCCCTGCAAATAAATTATAAATACTTCATACTCTCAAAGAATATATTCAGCTGGGCACAGTGGTACACACCTAGTGGCTTGGGAGGCTGAGGCAGGAGGATTGCAAGTTCAAAGCCAGCCTCGGCAACTTAGAGAGGCCTTATGCAACTTAGAGAGATGCTATCTCAAAATAAAACTAGCTGAGCAGTGATGATTACCTACCATGGTTGAGGTCCTGGTTCCATTCCTAGTGGTGGGTGGGAGTGGGGGTCCAACTATCTTTTATTCAGCCCGTCATTAAAGAGAATTACAAAAAAAACCAGCAAATACTAGGGAGGATGTAGAGAAAAAGGAACCTTACACACTGTTGACAGGAATGTAAATTAGTACAGCCACTTTGAAAAATAATATGGAAGTTCCTCAAAAAACTATGAACAGAACTACTGTATGATCCAGCTATACCACACCTGGATAGATGCCCCAAGGGAATTAAGTCAGCATATAAAAGAGATACCTGCATACCCATGTTTATTGTGGCACTATTCATAATGGCCAAGATATGGGATTTGCCTAAATGCCCATCAACAGGTAACTGAAATCTATTGTATATATACACAATGGAGTATTATTTAGTCATAAAGAAAAATGAACCATGTTATATGCAGGAAAAGGGATGGAACTGGAAGAAATCATGTTAAGCAGAATAAGCCAAACACAGAAAGACATTATTGCATGTTTTCTCTCTTATGTGGAAACTCAAAAAAAGAAAAAATTACCTGAAAGTAGAAGAGGGACTCTCAATGAAGGGGATGGAAACCAGACAGGAGAGAGGGAAGGTCAAGAAAGGGCAGTAGGAAAGCAGATATATTGTAAAGTAAATATAATTTCCTTAAGTAATTTCACTTAGTAAAGTGTTTCTTTTAGTCCTTTTCTAAATACAGGTAAGAGCACCTTTGAGATAAATCCAATATTTTTCTCTTTCCTCTGGAAATTTTACATAAAAATTTCTGACATATTGATAAATTCTAAATTGTAAAATAATAAAAACTATATTTTTATACCAAAATATAGGGATAATAGGGAGAGTAGATATGATCAAAGTACAATATATTCATATGGGGAAATCTGTCAATTTGTACAATTAATATGTATTAATAATTATAATTAAAATAAGTAATTCTATTGTTACAAAACTGTAAAACAGCCAGGTGTGGTGGTGCACACCTGTAATCCCATTGATTTGGGAGGCTGAGGCAGGAGGATCATGAGTTCAAAGCCAGCCTCAGCAAAAAGTGAGACACCAAGCAACTCAGTGAGATCCTGTCTCTAAATAAAATATAAAATAGGGCTGGGAATGAGGCTCAGTGGTTGAATACCCCGAGTTCAATCCCTAGTACAAAAGAAAAAAAAATTATAAAACAGTGCCACTAAATTTTTGGATTTTGATAATTTTAGAGTTATTTTTTCATAAAGTGTATATTATTTTTGTTAACATGGAGCAGGTTTATTCTTTATTGTTTAAATAATAAATACATTTTAGTATTTTTTCTTTTCTTTTTTTAATTTTTTTTTTGCAGTGCTGGGGATTGAACCCAGGTTCTTATACATGCAAAACAAATACTCTACCACTGAGCACACCTCAGCCCTCTCACTTTTAATTTCTAATGTAATATTGATAGATAACAAAAGTTTTTTGGGGATTCTCAATAACTTTTTATTAACGGCTTTATTTTTATTTTATTTACTTATGTATTTTTAATTTATTTTTTTTGTACCAGGGATTGAACCCAGAGTACTTAAGCCACATCCCCAACCCTTATTATTTTTTATTTAGAAATAGGATCTCACTAAGTTGTTTAGGACCTCCCTAAATTGCTGAGGCTGGCTTTGAACTTGCAGTCCTCCTGCCTCAGATTCTAGAGCCTCTGGGATCATAGTTGTGTGCCACTGTACCTGGCCTAAAATTTAGGTATTAAAGTATTTTTGTGTTAAGTATTATAATGTTTTATATGTGAGATTTACCTCAAACCAGGGATAAAAGATGGAAGGAAGGTCAAAGGGTTTAGTGGTAGAATGCTTGCCTAGCATGTGTTAGGTCCTGGGTTTGATTCCCAGCACTGCAAACAATAAAAAGGAAGGGAGGGAGGGAGGGAGGGATCAAGGGAAGGAACAAGGGAGGGAGGAAGACAAAATACTCTAGAGCACCTCTGGGCACACACACAAAAAAAATTATCAAAGCAATGTATTTTGAAGTTTTTCTTCTAAAAAGTGGGGAAAAGTCCTTTAATTTACTAGTAAGGCATGGGTTTATTGTTTCAGGGATTGGTGACATTCAGGGATGTGATCATAGAGTTCTCTCAGGAAGAATGGAAGTGCCTGGAACCTGCCCAGAGAGACTTGTACAGGGATGTGACTTTGGAGAACTTCAGTCATTTGGTCTCACTAGGTAAGGCTAACGTATCACACAGGGACAGACAGGAAACGAGGAACCCAGGAACTACGGCAGCGGGAATTGGCTGTTTCCACCTCTGGCCCAAAGAAGTAAAGAGAGCAAACTGTGCCACTGGAGACGATGAGAACTAGAACCACAGAGAAGGGCCCAGCCAGCAGCAACTGTAGCCTCCTCCAGAACTCCCAGGTCAAAGGAAAGAGGGAGAGAGCTAAGAAATATCCTGTACTCAGCCTTCTGCCCGCTGACCTGCTGATGCTTTTCATCTGTCAAGCCCATGGGAAATCACAGGGTAGGGAAGATACAGACCTTATAAGTAGGCTGTGTGGGGCACAGGGCCTGGCACAGAGAAGGACTAGTATCAAGGAATGGATGGGTAGGGAAGGAGAGGGTTAATGGAGTACAATAACCATAGATATCTAACCCAAATAATTCAGGACTAGCCTTCTGGAATTCCTAGTCTCCTTCATTGTGGATTTCTAGGGCAACTTACAAGTTTCTGGCTGAATTTATGTCCCATTATCCCATTATCCCACATTTTGTGGAATTAAAAATGGGTCACTATCCTGACAACCTTCACACCTTCCTCCTTACAATTTCCTCAGTTCCATAGCAACAGATGCACTGTTTTTCAATTTTGGACCAGTATCATCATGGCCTATTTCTTTTTCTATAAACAGGTCTTTCCATTTCTAAACCTGATGTCATCTCCTTATTGGAGCAAGGGAAAGAGCCATGGATACTTGCAAATGATATGACAGGACCATGGTACCCAGGTGAGTAAGGGCTATCTAGTGGGAAAGACCATGGGGATTACAGCCCAGTAGGTGAGGCAACTGGTAACTGTAACTTGAGTCATTGTTGGAAAGTGCTCAAAGCCCTGCTGCAGAATAAAGGCCTGGGATACTAAGATGTGAAGAGCAAAGACATTGTCGGCCTCAGCTGTTCTTTCTTCTCTCATTTGTCCCATTTCAAAAAGGAATTTGCCCTTTTCTTTCCTCGTGACTGCCTTTTAACCTGAACTTTAGATCCTTTTTTCTGCAAATGTCTTTATGCCTTAGAAAAACTTGTTTTCTTAAAATTGCTTCTCGTTGCAGGACATAGTGGCACGTGCCTATAATCCCAGCAATCAAGGAGGCTGAGGCAAAAGGATTTCAAATTTGAGGAAAGTCTGGGCAGCATAATGAACCCCACCATCTCAAGAAACAATAAAAAAACACAAAACAATAAAATAGAGCTGCCTTATCTATTTAAAATGTCCATGCCAGGCATGGTGGCACATGCCTGTAATCCTAGCAGCTTGGGAGGCTGAGGCAGGAGGACTGTGAATTTAAAGCCAACTTCAGCAACTTAGCGAGGCTCTTAGCAACTGATACTCTATCTCTAAATAAAATATAAAAAAGGGCCGAGGTTGTGGCTCAGTGGTTAAATACCCCTCGGTTCAATCCTCAGTAGCTAAATAAATAAATAAATAGGGGCCTGGGATATAGCTCAGTTGGTAGAGTGCTTGCCTTGCATGCACAGGCCCTGGGTTCAATCCCCAGCACCACAAAAATAAATAAATAAATAACGAAATAAAATGTCCATGATAAGCAAATTCACAGAGTGATTTCCCAGGGCTGAAGAAAATAGAGAATGAGGAGTGACTGCTTAATGGGGCATGGGTTTTCTAATTGAGGTGAGGGAAATGTTCTCAGACTCGATAGTGGAATATGCTACAAACCACTGTTGTGCATTTCAAGAACATTTAAATGGGGGCCAGAGAAATAGCTCAGTGGTAGAGTGCTTGCCTTGCATGCATAAGACCCTGAGTTCAATTCCCAGCACTGGAAAAAAATGTTCTGTTTTTGTTTTTTAAATATTTATTTTTAGTTGTAGTTGGACATAATACCTTTATTTCACTTATTTATTTTTATGTGGTGCTAAGGATCGAACCCAGGGTCTCACATGTGCTAAGCGAGTACTCTACCACTGAGCCACAACCTCAGCCCTGGAAAAAAATGTTTTATTGAGAAAATTTATGTTATGTGAATTTTACTTCAGTTAAAAATATAGATGCCAGCTACGGTGATGCATACCTGTAATCCCAGCAAATGAAGAGGCTGATGCAGGAGAATCACAAGTTCTAGGCCAGCCTCAGCAGTTTTTAAAAAGTACTTTTAAAAAATGGATGTGGCTCAGTGGTAAAGCATCCTGGGTTCAATTCCCAGTACCAATAAATAAGTAAATAGATAAATACACACATACACATGCACACACCTTGGCCCTAGTCTGCAGATTTTAATTCAGTCTGGGGTGATGTTTGAACATTTGTATTGTTAAAGGGCTTCCTGAATGAGTCTGATCTATATCAAAGTTGAGAACCCTGGCTTAATATTTTCTTGTCCCTTCTGGTACCATATGAGCTCTTTTAATGTTTGTGCTTTCCTGTGCTTTTTAGAAATTGCTTAATAAGGGTTAGAGATATGGCTCAATGGTAGATCGCTTGCCTAGTATGTGCAGGGCCCCAAGTTCAATCCTCAGCACTGAAAAAAAGGAAATAAATTGCTTAATAATTGAGAGACTTTTATAAAAACATATACTTTTTACAGTTATTATTTTCATTTTGTCTTCCTATTTTACTATAGAATTTTATTTCTTATAGAAGAGAATAGTTTACATTTATTTTTCTCTTATTTTTCAGACTTGAAGTCCAGGTATGAGGCATTTCCACAAAATGATATTTTTGAAATAAAGTCATTCAACTGGGAGGTAATGGAAAGCCTTAAATATTGCGATCTTCAGGGCTCCAGTTTTAAAGAAGACTGGGAATGCAAAGGGCAGTTTGTGAGACAAGTAAATCAGGAGTGTTATTTCAAGCAAGTAGAAATCGCCTTTGAAAACATCCCCACTTTGGAGCATCACACATCTCTCACTCTACCTCAGCACAGTAGGACCAGTAAGAAACTGATTGAATGCAATGAATGTGGGAAGGCATTTGGCCGAGGCTCACACCTTATTCAACATCAGAAAACTCATACTGGTGAAAAACCCTTTGAATGTAAGGAATGTGGGAAGGCCTTTAGTCGTGCTTCACACCTTGTTCAACATCAGAGAATTCATACAGGTGAGAAACCTTATGACTGCAAGGAATGTGGGAAAGCCTTTGGTCGTACTTCAGAACTTATTCTACATCAGAGACTTCATACTGGTGTGAAACCCTATGAATGTAATGAGTGTGGAAAAACCTTTAGGCAACATTCACAACTTATTCTGCATCAAAGAACTCATACAGGTGAGAAACCCTATGTATGTAAAGACTGCGGGAAGGCTTTTATTCGAGGCTCACAATTAACTGTTCATCGGAGAATCCATACAGGTGCTAGACCCTATCAGTGTAAAGAATGTGGGAAGGCATTTAGACAGCATTCACAACTGACCGTACATCAGCGAATCCATACTGGGGAGAAACCCTATGAGTGTAAGGAATGTGGAAAGGGCTTTATCCATAGCTCAGAAGTTACTCGACATCAGAGAATCCATTCTGGGGAGAAACCCTATGAATGTAAGGAATGTGGGAAGGCCTTTAGACAGCACGCTCAGCTTACTCGGCATCAGAGAGTTCATACTGGTGACAGACCCTATGAATGTAAGGACTGCGGGAAGGCTTTTAGTCGTAGTTCATACCTTATTCAACATCAAAGAATTCATACAGGTGACAAGCCCTATGAATGTAAGGAATGTGGGAAAGCTTTTATCCGCGTTTCACAGCTGACTCACCATCAGCGAATTCACACTTGTGAAAAACCCTATGAATGCAGGGAATGTGGAATGGCCTTCATTCGTAGTTCACAACTTACTGAACACCAGAGAATTCATCCTGGCATCAAGCCTTATGAATGCAGAGAATGTGGGCAGGCCTTTGTTCTTGGCTCACAGCTCATTGAACATTACCGAATTCATACTGGTTAGCGTGTTAAGGATATAGAAAAGATTTTGTGTGGAGTTCACACCTGGCTTAATATTAGATCATTTTTAATGTAATTAAAGTCAGAAAACTTTGATTTGTCACTTTCATTATGGAACATTAGAGAACTCATATCAGGAGAAAATTCAATAAATGTGGAAATTCTTTTTGCCTCACTCACTGTTTATTAAGCATCAGAGAACCTATGCTTAAAAAAGAAAAGAAAAAGTTAATATGAATGTAGAAAGGCCTTCTGTTACTACTCAAAAATCTGTTAAACTTCTGAGATTTCCAAATAGAAACTGATCAAATTAGAATATTTTGTAGCTGGGCACAGTGGAGCAAGCCTATAGTCTCAGCTACTCATAGGATAAAGCAGAAGGATCTCTTGAATCCAAAAGTTGGAAACCAACCTGGGCAACATAGCAAGACCACACCTCCAAATATATATATATATTTTTTGTGAATGTGCCTTTTGTCTTTTGTCATAGTATAGACATTAGTTGACATTGTTGTTATTCCACTGATTACTAACATTGTAGGATTGGATAAATTGTGCGATCTCTTTCCTTTATTTGTTAAAAAAAAAATTAAATGGTGATGATTATACGAATCTAATAGAGCTTTCATGGGGACTAAATCAGATATTTTACATAAGGCCTTGTAAAGAATATCTTGTTATGTGTTCAATAAATATTAGCTATTGTCATTAATTTTTATTATCAGCCAGGCACCAGTGGCACATGCCTATAATCCCAGAGATGGAGGAGACGGAGAGAGGAGGATCACAAGTTCGTGATCGGCCTCAGCAACTTAGCATGTGAGGCCCTAAGCAACTTAGTGAGACCCTGTCTCAAAAAACAAAAAGGGTGGGCTGGTGGTGTGGCTCAAGCGGTAGCTCGCTCGCCTGGCATGCGTGTGGCCTGGGTTCGATCCTCAGCACCACATACAAACAAAGATGTTGTGTCTGCCAAATACTAAAAAATAAAAATAAATATTAAAAAAAATAAAAGGGTGGGCTGGGTTTATGGCTCAGTGATAAGAGTGCTGCCTAGCATGTGTGAGGCACTGGGTTCGTTTCTCAGCACTGCACATAATAAATAAAGGTCCATTGACAATTAAAAAAATTTTTTTAATAAAGTAAAATAAAAAGGGTGGCACATGTCTATAATCCCAGCAGCTCAGGAGGCTGAGGCATAAGGAACGTGAGTTCAAAGCCAGCCTCAGCAATAGCGAGGCACTAAGTAATTCAGTAAGACCCTGTCTCTAAGTGAAATACAAATGGGCTTGGGATGTGGCTCAGTGGTTGAGTGCCCCTGAGTTCAATCCCCATATCAAAAAAAAAAAATTATCAGTATTATTATTGAGTACACTAGAGGAGGGCTTATAAATTTATCAAAAGCATTTATAATCACTTGTTTAGATAATTAATTCTGCAAAATTGTCATAAGAAAGTCTTCATTCAAAAGGTTAGAAAGTCAGAATAGCCAGGCAGGGTAGCTCACCTTTGTAAATCAAAGGACTCCAAAGGCTGAGGCAGGAGGATGCAAATTCAAAGCCAGCCTGGGCAATTGAGCAAGGCCTTGTCTCAAAAAGGGCTGCAGGTGTAGCTACGTGGTAGAGTACTTACCTGGCATGTGCCATGCTCTGGGTTCAATCCTAGTACTGCAAAATAAATAAATTAATTTTTCAAAAATAGAAAAAAAGGATTTCATATAAAGGTTGTTTATTTAATAATGTAATAAGAGATTATTTACAAGGGTGATGTAGGAAAAATAATGACTAGGCAGGGGATGAAGTCTTTTAAAATACTAAAAATACTAAGTGTGGGGGCCCAGGGTTGTGGCTCGGTGGTAGAGCACTTGCCTAACATGCATGAGGCACTGGATTTGAGCCCCAGCACCACATAAAAATAAATAAATAAAAATACTAAGTGTGAATATTTTAATTATTTGATAATATATTTGAATCCAATCTCTCAAGAGATTGTATTTTTACAATATAAGTTGGTTCAAGAAGATGTGGAACGCCTGAATAATAAGTAATTCTAGTACTGATGGGGGCAGACAGATCGGAGGTTAAGGGAATAATTCTATAAAAATGGGCCCACTGTGCCGACCCCCACTTGTACATGTTCTTTTCCAAGAAGCAATTTACTTGTAGCCCTGCCTGGCTTAAAGGGACAGGATATGTCACCTTCCTCAGCAAACTACCTGTTACCTGCAGGAGAAATTCAGGCCTGAAATAATGTCAAGAGGAACCCAAGTTACCCTGAATTGAGGAGACTTTTGTGACTCTTTTCACAGACTATATCTGGAAACTCAGGGAGATAAGGATAATTCCTCCTAATCATAAAATCTGTTAAGAATTACAGTTAAGTATCCAATTAGAACCAGTCAGCATGAGCCAAGGTAACCTTGAATTGTCATGGCAGTCGGGACTTGAAAGTCTGATGTCATTCCTGCTGTCAGTCAAGAAGTCTAGAGGTGGACCTGGGCAGGACTCTGGAAACTTAGCTCTGAGATCCCTAATAAAACTGGACTACAGGTGAGGCACAGTGTCCCTCTCCTCTCTGAGAGGACCCTCTCTCTCTCTCTCTCTCTCTCTCTCTCTCTTTCTCTCTCTCTCTTGTGAATGTCCCCTCATCCTTTTCCTATCCTTTCAATAAACTCATGCCTGTTACTGATCCGGAAACCCAGGGAGATAAGGATAATTCCTCCTACTCATAAAATCTAAGAATTTATGGTTAAGAATCCAATTAGAACCAGTCAGCATGGGCCAAGGTGACCTAGAGTTGTGATGGCAGTGGGGAAAAAGTCTGCTCACAGTAACACATGTTCAAGGATAGTCCCAGCAGCTTAGCAAAATCCTCAGTAATTCAGTGAAACCCTGTCTCAAAATAAAAAATAGAAAAAGACTGGAGGATGTAGCTTAGTGGTAAAGTGTCCCTGGGTTCATTCCCTAAACAAAAAAATTCTTCAAGGAACAGATAATCCCTAAGGAAAACCTCCCAATTCATTTTCAAAGCTAAATAAAGTTCCAACTAAGTGGGGGAGGATAATGGAATATCCTACATGTTAGTAATTCCATTTTAATTCTAGAACTACATCTTAACCCAAAACCAAAACTTATAAACTGCCAAGAAAAAGAAACTGAAGATACCCTGTTGCCATAATACCCCCTCCTCCAAGGTCCCTAAATATAAAATTCTGTTATCACCCAGCCACCTGCAATTCTAGGTCAATTCAAGGTCAATTCTAGTTGCTGCACTCAACGCCATTTCCAGCTTGCTCTTGTTCCTTGTTTAAAAAAAAAGAAAAAAAGCTACAAAGACCCTATTCAATAACTCTGGCTGCTGCACCACTGTACTGGGCAGCTTGGCAGGCTTCTCCTGTCAATAAACTTTGCTTTCTGAAAGACTCTATCTTGAGAGATTTCTTAGAGCGTTCTATTCTAACGGGGGACAACTTCATATACTACAGTTCCCAAAAAGCAATTATAGATCACTGTCATTTGTGAAAATAAATAAAATTTCTGTTTATCTAATCCCATACTCTATTAAAAATAAGGAGCTAGAGCCTGGCATGGTGGTGCATCCTATAATCTCAGTGGCTCGGGAGGCTGAAGCAAGAGGATCATGAGTAAAAGCCACCCTCAGCAATTTAGCAAGGTCCTAAGCAACTCATCGAGAGCCTGTCTCTAAATAAAATATATAAAAGGGCTGGGATGTGGCTGAGTTCAATCCCCAGTACTGAGGAAAAAAAAATCTTAAATGGAATGTCAGGAACTTCACCTGTTCTGTGTTAATTATGTTTTCAGAATTTTGACATTACAACCTTAAGAAAAAGATCCTTGATTTAACCCCAATGACATCTGGATCAACGTGTGTGAGTGAACCTTAGGAAGGTCAAGAAACTCATTCTTTTAGCTCTGGAGCTTGCCCAGCAGTATCTGAGGCAAAATTCCTATTGTACTTTCTTGTTTTTTTTTTGGAGGGGACTACTAGGGATCGAATCCAGGGACACTTAACCACTGAGCCACATCCCCAGCTCTTTTTATATTTTATTTTGAGACAGGGTCTTGCTAAATTGCTTAGCACCTCCTTGTTGCTGAGGCTGGCTTTGAACCCATGATCCTCTTGCCTCAGCTTCCTGAGCTGCTGGGATTATAGGAATGCACCACTTCACCCCACTGCACCTGGAGTGATTATTTTTTTTAACATTTTTTAACACAATGCCTTTATTTTATTTTTTTATGTGGTGCTGAGGATAGAACCAGGGTCCCGCCTGTGCTAGGCGAGTGCTCTACCGCTGAGCCACAATCCCAGCCCTTAGTGATCATTTGATAAATGGTAACTGAGTGGGAAAGGGGTAAAGATACCCCTTTCCCACTCAATTACCATTTATCACATCAAATGATCACCCCTTTCCCACTCAGTTACTTTATCAAATGATCACTAAGAGCAAATTCTTGTATATATGTCCAGAATTTAAAATTTCATAAGCAGACATACACATAACATGCTCTATAAAAGTTTTTATACCTTGGTAGCAAATTTCTATACATGATTACATTTACTAAAATATTAGTTTTGCTTGGATTTTTTTTGTTTTGATTTGGTTTAGTATTGAAGATTGAGCCCAGGGGGGTGCTTTACCACTGAGCTACAACCCTAGCCTTTTTCATTTTTTATTTTGAGACAGGGTCTCACTAAATTGCTGAGGCTGGACTAGAACTCACTAACATCCTCCTGCTTTAGCCTCCCAAATAGCTGGGATATAACCTATAGATATGTGCCACCATATCAATACATACATAGCTATTGCTTCATTCTCTCTCTCTCTCTCTCTCTCTCTCTCTCTCTCTCTCTTTTGAGGCGGGGGTCAGATGCAGTGCTGGGGATGGAACCCAGGGCCTTGCATATGCCAAGTGCACACTGTAACACTGAGCTACATCCCATGCCCCACTTCATTCCTTTATATCAACTGCTTATTATTCCTCTATATGTGTTTTATAATTTAATATTTTTATGTGTGTTTCTCTTCTAAACAATCTTTTTTTTAATATTTATTTTTTAGTTGTAGTTGGACACAATACCTTTATTTCACTTATTTATTTTTATGTGGTGCTGAGGATCAAACCCAGGGTCCCACACATTCGAGGCGAGTGCTCTACCACTGAGCCACAACCCCAGCCCCCAAACAATCTTATAGCAAACATTTTCCTTGCACATAAAGAATTCGTACTAGTGGTATATCTTTAAGATAAATTTCTAAGACCTGCTATCTGCCACAAAATGTTCTAAATTCACCTTGCTGACTTCCTGCTTCCCATTGACGTAACCATTTTCTAAGGAATCCTCTTTCCTTTGGTACTTTACCAAATGATATTTGAAAAAAACATGTTGGAAGAGATGCTTTATGCCCCTTGTTGGCTTTTTTTTTTGCTTGGTTTTGAATACATATATAAAATTTGCCTGGAGATTACATAAGAAACAGCATAGGTTTCTTGGTTCTCTGGAAAGAAACTCAAAGGTTCATGTGAGAAAGAAGTCTCTTTTTTTCTTTTATGAATTTTCAACCATGTGAATGTGTGATCCATTCATCAACTGAATGACTAAAAATTTACCAAACACACTGGTGCATGCCTGTAATCCCAGAGACTTGGGAAACAGGCAGGAGGATCACAAATTCAAGGCCAGCCTCAGCA